TGCTAGAGCCATAGAACACCTGCTTTACTATTTTCAAAGCCATCGAGAATGGCTGTTGCTGCTTGGCTAGCAGATATAGTCAGATCAGTAATGGTTAAAAGTTTGGTTTTAAGGAACTCCCATCAAAATGTCTTGAGTTATTCCTAGAAAATGTCCTCTTCATATTTTTTTCAGCCTTGAACTGGTTACTGTACTTCTCATATGTAGCTAAAACATCTCACATCTCAACTTTAAGGAGTGTTTTGGAATTCTTTTGGTAAAATCTAGCAGAAGCGATAAGTAGCATTATCAGGGTTTTCTTTATTAACAGACCCATGAACTTCTGGAGTACATTTAATTCAGTGCTGAAATAGTAAATTCAGCTTTTAAAATAGATTTAAAAATTTTACCAAGTTGCATGTTCAAGATTGTTTATTGCAACTTTGTTTATCATAGCAAAAAAAAGCAAACCCACAAACACACACAAACTGGATATGATGTATTTATCAATAGTGGTCTGGTAAAATGATAAATTTTTAACAACGGCATATTATGCAGTTTAAAGAATATGGCAGATGAATATGTGCTGATGTGAAAAATACAAAGTGCTGAACATATGCAAACTAAGCTGCCATTTGTACCATATGGGATATATTTGAAAAAAATTTTTGTCCCAATTCTTAAAGTCTCATTATTACCATTCCTTTTCATACAATAGCTTTTCTCTAAGGTAGAGAATTGTAAGAAAAGTGAACTAATTTTGCCACAAATTTAAACAAAATTAAATCAAGATGATGATAGGAACACTTATAGTCCTTACTATGTGCCAGGTACTGTTCAATTACATGTTTTAAACATTTACTCTTCACAACAACCCTGTGAAGCATGGATAATCTTTATCCACATTTTTCAGATGAGGAAACTGAGATGTTAATTCCACACAAGGTTGCATGGCAAGTATGTGTCGAAGCTGACTTACATACCCTTGCAGACTGGCTCCAATGTCTCTGTGCTCTTAACTACCAATTCTATGCATCCTCTCAACTTACTTTTGACATTGATGGAAACTAAATGAGATACTTTGTCATTTTTCTTTCTTGTAGACAAATGATTTGTTGTGTTTATATAATACATGATACCTAATAACAGGATGGTCCTATTTTTATTGCTGAAAACAATCTGTTATATGTTCTTTTAATTAACCTTTCATTTTAACTCGTTCATTTAGCTAGGTAGTTCTCAACAGTGGAGAATTTTGTGCCCTAGAGGACATTTGGCAGCATTTGGAGACATTTTTGCTTGTCACAGTGGGGCTGAGAGATGGGAGATAGTTGCTACTGTCATCTACTGGATAGCTAGGGATGTTGCTAAACATCCTAAAAATGCATAGGATAACTTTGCATAACCAAGATTTATCCAGCCCAAATGTCAGTAGTGCCAAGAAACCCTTTAGTTGGCATAAGGAAAGTTCTCAATAATTGGACTCCTGTCCTGAAAAATACCAAGTATATTATTTTGTTTTCAAGCTAGTAGCACTGAGAAAAGCAAACTTTATTTTTACTGTTTTTTACACTGATACTTTTCACTTTTCCCACCTGGCATTGTGTGATATGTAAGTGCCAGAGCTGACAAGGGTAGCAAATTCATGGGACCATGGAACATCACCCACACATTGAAATGTAACCTTGTTGGCCAATTAGAGCCTCTAACTTGGTCAGGTGACTTAAGATGATCATTTGAGTAGATTTAAAGGCAATGTACTTATATAATATACAGTTTAGGGAGGTGACAGGAGTGCTACAAGGTAAATGTTTAAATGAATGATTGAAAAATTATAAACAAGAGCTGTGCCTACTTTGATGTGAATATGCACAGCTTTAAAAGTAGGGAAAGAAAAGCCTTTACAATTTAAAAAAAGCTTGTTATAATTTCATTAGGTAAGAGGAAAAGTGGTAACTGGAAGCTCAGAGGGAGCAGTAAGAAAGGTATTTTACTGTTTCAAGAAATGGATGGCAGTACCTTATTTTTCAACCAGTAAAACAGCCTGCAGATAAAATCATTTTGGTTGGTGGATAAAGGTATGCTGTAAATTGACACTGAACTTTAACTTGCCCTGTGATCAACCAGCCAGAACCTGAATAGTTCCTGCGGAAGAGCTGTTTCTCAATTCCAGGAAGGCAGAGTAAATGTTAAGTTTCCTGCTGACAGGGAAAGTCTGTTGAAATGAATACACCAGGGGAAACTGGATTCACCATTTCTCCCATGTTAACACTGGTTTTAAAGGTTTCCTTCAGCCTCTTCTAGAATGGTAAGGGCTTCAGATTATTTCAGAAATACAGTGGTAACGTTTCAGGCTGGCTACTTCCTTTCTGTTGCTAGGCACTTACACCTTCATTCCCAGCAGAGGCTGTAAAGTGCTACTGCTGCCGCTGTTGCCGGTAGGGCTTGCCACACGTACCAGCTCAGCTTCTGGGAAATGATGGGATTGATGATCCTTCTCTGGAAAACTTTTCATCACAGAGATTCACATCAGGTTGTATTTTAAAGCAGGCTGAAAAAGAAAGCCATTAGCCTTTCTTAACTCTTAATTCAGATCCAAATAGCTTCTGATTTATTGATTAATTAATTTTATGTCCTTTTCTTTTTCAAGCTGAACACTGAATAGCTTAGCATAGGCCTTCCATCCTCTCTGCCTTGTTGCCAGAGGATTTTCCTCCTTTCTCTTCGGCCTCACTGTGATCTGTGCAAACAGCTACTAAATGAAGGAGAGCTTATTAGAAGGGGAATTATCCATGTTTGAGCTTTTAAATTCTCAAAATGAGAGGATTGTTTTGTCTGGAAAAGGCACACGTTTGTATGCTCTGGCTATGAAATAATGCCTGTTACTTTTTATTAAAATAACCAGGGAGGTTAAGGAAACCATAAAAGAAAAAGTTTGATCACAGTCCTACAATTCTCAAAGCCATGCCCTTTTCTATACAGCTTTATTAAAGAAATGAAGCAGGTCTGATTTAGTGTGAAAGAATAACAAGGTTTGTCCAACCTCTCTCTGCTTCATTATGGGCTCTAGGTTGTATATTTCAACAGTATTTGAATAGAGAATGCAAATTTTAATAGGCATATGACTTTGTATACTGAGTTTTTAAAATAAGACTAAAAGTACAAAATAATGTACAGAACTAGATTCTGAATAGGTGAATTATATTCATACTGACAGCAAGAAGTGTTTTATTAGGGATGGGCAAGAAACTAAGAGGTGTTAGAAAGCTCCATTTTAAATGAGGGAATTTAGTGTGGGTCTGTGTGTGTGAATCTTTGCACTTGTGTTTTGATTAAGAAGTATCAGCTAACATTGAATTGTTGGAGAATTACCCTTGTTTCTCCAGCCTTTCTGTGTAACTGAGAGCTGATGTGAGTCAAATACAGAAAATAGCTAGTATCATGATTAGGAATACTTGTTTTTCAGATGATCCCCTCAGAACTTCTTTTAGCCCTTACACCAGGAACTGAGTTGTCCCCTCCCCATAAGTTTGTTAATGATAGGATACTCAACCCTAAAGGTTAGGATGGTTCAGGTCCTACAGTTCTTTCTTCCCCTCTGTGTGTTTTTGGCTTTTTCTGACTTTTTGGGAGACTCGGCCTCATTTAAAACAATGTTCCTTTGAGTAAATACAATCTGAATTCTTAACAGGTGACTTACAAATGATCTTGTGGAATATAGTTTCTTGATTTAAGAATTACCTCTGCTGAATTGCCTTTTAGTAATGGCCCTCCAAAAGCTCTATCAATCTAATTTATGGGTGTATATTAATATGCTGTTAGAGAAACTGGCTACCCAGTTACTGAAATAAATAAGCAGTCTAGAGGCAACAAATGAGAAACTTTATCCTGTCTTGTGCTTGGCAGCAAGGCACTCTAGGTCTGTTTTATTTATGCTATTGCTACCACTTTCTTTTCTTTTTTCTCATCATTTCTTTCTTTGCCCCAGAGCACCAAGCAATAGTTTTACCTACTTTCACTCTAACACTTCCTGGGCTTATATACAGTGGGATCAGAAAGGGAAGTCAGTCTAACAGAGGGCAATGGAGTTTGGAGGCTTGAACTCTCAGCAAAAGAGATCAAATGGAACTAATTTTAGAAGAATTGGTCTTGGGGTAGTTAAATAGAGAGCAATATAAATAAATAGATATGCTAATAATACACTATTCCTCTTTGTTTTCATTTATTTTGCCTCAGTATTTTTTTTTCTTTCAGGAAATATCCACAACATCCATTCATATCTGAACTAGAAAATATGCAAGAGTTCTTTACATCCCACCTCTCTTATTAATGGAGATAGATAGATAATCATACACTTTTTGGGAAAAGTAGCTAAATGTTATTTTTAGACTAAAAGAAAATAAAACGATGAGTGCTATCAAGATTGTGTTAAAGAGAAACTTCTTATACCTCTGGGAAATACATTATTACAAACCATTTGGGAAGCCATTTAGCAATATGCACCTAGAGGCCTAAAATATTTGTGCCTTTTGACCTAGGAATTCTATTTCTGATAATTTACTGTAAGGAATTAATCATAAATATAGAAAAGCCTTCATAGGCAGTGTAGTTTATCACAATACTAATTTATAATGAAAAAAATGGGAAACAATCTTAATGTCCAACTGTAAGGAAATGGGCAAGGAAACCCCAGTCAACCAATTGTTATGTAGCCATTGAGAATGTTTACTAGGAGTATAAAATAACATGAAAGATGCTTTTGATATAGTGTTCAGTGGTGAAAAATGTAATGTTGAGTATTCCCTATTCAATATGATTACAAATTGGTAAGATATATCTATGCTTGGAAAATATTAAGTATATTAAAATATAGGTAGTGATTTATGTTTGGATGATGAAACTGTGATTTTTGTTTTATAGCAGTTTCAAAATTTTCTTTAATGATTATGTAGTATTTAGATAGTGGAAAGAAAGAATGAAATCCTTCTACCTTCCCACTAAAAGTATTACTTTCCTTACAGCTTTAAACAGCAGTCGTAAAAGTCAGTCTGCAAGCTTTGGAATAAGACTTGCAAGAAAATATTGTGCAGCATGGATTCTCTACCAGAAGAATTTTTTGTGAGGTAAGGGATGGGTTGACAAAAAACCAACTGCAGTTGTTGCATTTTGAAGACACGACATTGGTCTTTTTCACATAACTTTGGGAAGCTATTGTGAATGAGATACCCTTATGTTTCAAGACAATTTAGCAATTTTGATTAGTGGGGGATGCAAACTGGGTAAAATCTAGTTTTAGAAAATTTCTCTAAGGACCACACCCTGGTAAATAGCTAAGAATTGAAAGATGTACCATAGCTTTTCACACCTGGGCCATTCTCAACAAAGTAATGTTTTATTTATCATTTAACAAGCACTTACATAGACTTACCAACATTAACTTATATAAACTTCATAACAACTCAGTGAGGTGGATACTATTATTATTCCCATTTTATAGAAGGTAACCTAAGCGTAACATAGAAGACTACTGAGTGGTTCAACTGGGCGTAGGCTAAATGTCAATCTGTCCCCTCAAATTAGGGAAAGTTCAGCCTGCTTGTACCTCTCCCATATAATACTAAAGAGCAGGTTAGTATTGGAGATCTCCTTGCCACCTTTCACTGTCTCATATAATAAGCAATGTGTTGTTTTACAAGTATTTACTTACCTCCATTGTACTTAGGGAATAAAGACTAAGACAAAATGTGTGTACTGAGAGAGAATTATAATATAGTAGGAAGATAAAAAGTTATTTTATCTTTAGGCAAAATGCATGCCTAAGTGTTATAGTAGAAATGCTGTGGCTATATATAGAAAGGAACAATAGTTATTGAGTAGGGTTCAGTGGGTTTCCACAAGGTGACATTCGAACTGAACTTTAAAGGATAAAGGTGGCTTTTGATGGGTGTAGAAACAGAGCAGATGGGAGGTCATTTGGCTGAGGAAACAGCAAGAAAAAGTATTTAAGATAAATTCTTGGGGAGCATTTTGACTCCTGGTAAGGAGTTTAGCTTTATTTTGTACAGAGCCATTGACATTTGAAGAAGAGAAATGAAATTTTACACTGTATTTTGGGAAGACTACCTCTGTTGATAGTGGGAAGGATGACAAGATATGACAATTGTAATAGCTCAGGAAGTAGTTAATGAAGGCTTGTATGATAGGAATAGTAAATAGTAAGAGAGGAAGGATTTACAGAACTAGAATCAACAGAATTCTTTGACTACTTAAATGTGAGAAAAGGGGCAAAAGAGTAGTAGAGTTGGTTTGAAAGTTTCTAATGACCAGAAGGAAATATGTAACATTAGCTAATATGAGGATCACAAAAGGAGACAGGTTTAATGTGTGTTGAGAAAGTAAGAGAGGACAGATAATGAGTTCAGCTTTGGACATGAGCCAGACTGAGGTGTCGCTAAGATATTCTTATGGAGATTGTCGAGTAGGTGGAAGGAAATGTGTAGCTGTAGCATCAAAGAATGATTAAGTCTGCAGAAATAGATTTGTGAATCATTAGAATGGGGCGCTATTTGAGTTCATGGAAGTTTGCTCATTTATTTGTTTTTATATTTATTCATTCAATAACTATTTGAGTGCCTACTTTATGTCAAATATTGGGCTAGAGACTTGAAGGTAAGGCAGTTCAATAAGAAGGACCTGAATCCTATCTAGGAGTGTTTACTCATGGGCATAAATGAGATTAATTTAAGTAGAAAATGTACTAAGAAAAAAGAGGGCTAAAAATGGAACATTACTGTATACTATATATATTCAATATTTCAGGTATATTGTTATACCAAAATTTCAGCTTCTCCCAGCAGCAGAATAAAGTACACAGGTGGTAAAAGTAGCAGAATAGCAAAAGAAAAATACTAGTCTTGCACTTAGTTTTAGCTTTGCTGCTTTCTAGTGTATGACCTCTCTGGGCATTAATTTACCCATCTACAAAATAAAGTAGCCTGCCATATATGACCACTGATGTACCTTCCTGTTCTAATACATGGGGAGCATGGTTTGATAGTGTTAATGTAAGCAGTTCTATATTAAATATTATTAAAATAATAGATGAATAAGGTGAATGAAAGGAAGAGAGATAGCCAGTGGTACAAACTGAGAAGTGGACAGCTGGAGGGGCTAGGAGAAGAACCAATAGCAGCGAAGGATGTGGAGGTTTTCAAGGAGGGGTGGAGTATATGATGGATAATGTTAAGTAATGCAGAAAAGCTAGGTAGATTGAAGAGCTAAGACAAAGCTATTGTAGTAGCAGATACGATTTCATTACCAACTTTTACTAGAGCAATTTCAGTGTTGGGGAGGCAGTACAGATGAATTAAGTTTTCATATCAAAATTTGTTATGGAACCTATGGAAAATATAGAAGGTCATGTTCCACACATTTGATTAAGAAGCTCTGAAGTAGAGTTTGGACATCTGGATATTTCCAAAGCTTCACAGGTGATTTTAATATGCATCTGGGACTGAGAACTACTGGGTTAAGGAGTGAATTATCATGAAATGGAGTTAGCAAGTAGAGTATCCATTTTGAGTACCTTTTGTACTCTTAAACATGGAGAGGCTTCAGAATACTGCTGCAGTATTTTTCATTCCTTGATAACACAGTTCCTTGTGTTCCTTTTTGTAGTGGGGCTTAGAAGTGTAGGAAAAAACAGTTAACAGGTTTCTCTTTACCATGACATTTTAAAGAGCACTGAGACTCATACTGTGAAATATTGTTTGTTTGAAACTTTCACTGTGTGGACAATACCGCATTGTTTATGTCTCAGTTTCCCCTGACAAAATCAGCACATAGTAAATGATAAATGATTGTCTGTCAAATGAGTACATAAATATGAAGTAAAATAGGATAATATTTACAAAGTACAATTCTGAATAAGTCAATCAATTGACATAAGTTTCTCACATCAGTTTTATCTCTGCTAGTGTATAGGATTAAGAAAATTACATAAATCATATATGACCCTATGTTATGGGTCTTCTGTTATGAATCCTGTGTCATGGTGCTGTATATAGGCAAAAGCAATTTTATAAATGAATTTTTCAATATAGTAAATAATACTGCATATGTTCACATTTCAAGCCCATGTCAAAAGCAAAACATGTTATTCCTTTTTATAAAAATAGTTAATAATGTCTAAATATGATATTCTGCCTCGATTTAAAAAGCCATTTTGAAAAACTGGACAATTGCAATGCCAGGAAACTGAAAAAAAACAAAAGATCTCTGTAAGATAGATCCTTTCCAGACCTCAATTATTTTCATAAACACACACACACACACACACACACACACACACACGTACACACACAAATCAAAACATCAACCTTTCCAACCTTTTTTTCTTTACATTGAGAAACAGTGCTATAAAGTTATTTTTTCCCATTATTTTGGTCTATTGTGTGTTTGTTAAAGATGAAAAATTTTTTACATCAGCTTTGTATTCTCTCTGCCACTATCCAGTAAGGACATGGCATAATTTCTTTTCTTTAACTTGAGTTCCTAAAGAGAGATGGCATCTACCACTATTACCAGTCTTTGGTACATATTGTTTACACTTCTGAAACTTTCGGGCAAAAATTCGCATGTCAGATTCTTTAGTATTACAGTTTAATTGTGTTCTTTGTAAAGAGATGCTCTGAATATAATGCTTTTTCATTTAAAATAGGGATCTTCCTGTGGAGGAGCAGGCTAAGGAGGAAACCAAGAATAAGGTAGAAAAATCAACTGATCAACTGGTAAGAGACACTGTAGTCAGTTAACTAATGCTTTATGAGAATAGAATGCTAAATCTAATCAATTTAATTATCTGCTAAAAATTTTCCTACCTTAGTGGTCATCACTAAATCTTTCTTTGATAATTGATATTTGTGTTTCAAAGTTATCATTCTAAACACCAATCCTAACTGTCAGTTAAAATTAGTAGATAATTGAATTGACTTGCCCAGAAACATCCCACAATCAATTGTAAGAAATCTCTTATTTGTCTTTTGAAAGCAAAATTCAAACAAAGTGAACACTATACACATAGAAATAAAACATACACAGAGAATTTTATTTAGTAAGACATTTCATTGAGTTCTTTCTGAAGTTAATTCTCTTCTTGTTTTTATCATCTTTACAGTCAGAACCTCCAGTTCTAAATGAGTAACTGAATTATACACTAATATAAAGCTTTTATTGCCAGTGACAATATACTTTATGGTAGATTAAAAAATACAGAGGGCTTCCCTGGTGGCGCAGTGGTTGAGAGTCCACCTGCCGTTGCAGGGGACACGGGTTCGTGCCCCGGTCTGGGAGGATCCCACATGCCGCGGAACGGCTGGGCCCATGAGCCATGGCCGCTGAGCCTGCGCGTCCGGACGGGAGAGGCCGCAGCAGTGAGAGGCCTGCGTACCGAAAAAAAAAAATAATACAGACACATGTTTGTGAATATCACATGTATTTATGTTTAGTGAAGGATGGATGAGAGGTATTTGTTAGGTTCTTGTTAGTGTAATTTTTACTTTCCACATAGTTTTATATAATGATTGATGTCCATTTGTTAATAAAGGTTATCCAGTAACTTAGGAGGAGAAAAATATATAAATGTAAAATAACCATAGTATTCACCTGCATGAGGTTATCACTGTAAAAAAATTTTGCAGATGAAATACAATATGTTCAATATGTATACTTGGACCGGGGGATTGGATCCAGAAAAGCCATTTCTAGATACAGATTTCGGAATACAGAGGGAAAGGGGGTGGAAACTTTAACGTTAATTTGGCTTAGATGCTAAATCTATTTTGCAAAAATGGATTGAGCATCAAATATTTTGACAACTAACTTAAAAATTAAAATTGTATTTATAAGATTATTTAACAAACATGAAGCTTATAGTAGTTCCTGTTGAAAAAATTTTATTCATGCCATAATCTTACTTGTGTATCAATTTGGTAGTTAGTGTTAGATGATTCTGCAATGACTTTTGATTACAGAATTGACCTTTAGTTTGAAATATATGCACTATTGACAATGGTCATTCTTTTTTTTTTAAACATCTTTATTGGAGTATAATTACTTTACTATGGTGTGTTAGTTTCTGCTTTATAACAAAGTGAATCAGCTATACATATACATATATCCCCATATCTCTTCCCTCTTGTGTCTCCCTCCCATCCTCCCTATCCCACCCCTCTAGGTGGTCAGAAAGCACCAAGCTGATCTCCCTGTGCTATGCAGCTGCTTCCCACTAGCTATCTATTTTACATTTGGTAGTGTATATGTGTCCATGTCACTCTCTCACTTTGTCACAGCTTACCCTTCCCCCTCCCTGTGTCCTCAAGTCCGTTCTCTACGTCTGCATCTTTATACCTGTCCTGCCCCTAAGGCCTTCAGAACCTTTTTTTTTTTCTTTTAGATTCCATATATATGTGTTAGCATATGGTATTTGTTTTTTTCTTTCTGACTTACTTCACTCTGTATGACAGTCTCTAGGTCCATCCACCTCACTACAAATAACTCAGTTTCATTTATTTTTATGGCTGAGTAATATTCCATTGTATGTATGTGCCACATCTTCTTTATCCATTCATCTGTTGATGGACACTTAGGTTGTTTCCATGTCCTGGCTATTGTAAACAGAGCTACAATGAACATTTTGGTACATGACTCTTTTTGTATTATGGTTTTCTCAGGGTATATACCCAGTAGTGGGATTGCTGGGTTGTATGGTAGTTCTATTTTTAGTTTTCTAAGGAAACTCCATACTGTTCTCCATAGTGGCTGTATCAATTTACATTCCCACCAACAGTGCGACAATGGTCATTCTTTATAAAGGTTTGTTTGGTTATTTTTTAGAAGCTTTTTTTTTTTTTTAACTTTTTGAAAAATTTCAAACCTACAGAAAAGTTGCAAAACTACTGCAATGAACACTTATATACTCTTTACTGAGATTTAGCAAACTGTTAACATTTCCTACATTTTTGGATGTAAATATAATGAAGTACCGTAAAATGTAAGATGTGTTTGTTGGGTGTTGTTGGGAATGAAGGAATCTCAATTTAAGACTCAAAACCAGAAGTGGAGAGGAGGAGGAAGAGGAAAAGTAGTAGTCCTGCTGTGGACATTATTGGTTCCTAGTTACTTTCCTGGGTAGTTCCAGGTCTGTTATAAACCAGGCAGTCACAGTTACCACACACCAGTGACTATTTTGTGTTTTCAGTGACTCTACATGGCCTCTGCAGTAATAACCTGTCTGTTCTCATATACAGAGGTCAGTGGCTACATATTCATATTCCCAAAGTTTCAGCAGGGTGTAAGGATTGTGGTATCTTGTTAAGGTTTGAAGGAAGGCCATCATCCATCTGTTCCAGGATCTTTATTCATTTCTATTGCCCATTCGTTCCTCACAATTAATGTTAATAGAAAATCCAGCAAGACTTGACTATATAGCTATCAGTTAACCATTAACTACAGCTTTATTAAGTCTGTAGGATCAGTTCCTGAAGTCCCAAGATTATTACTATTTATTCGGCTCTGATTGAATTGAGATTATATGTAGAATCATTATATTATACTAATTTATTTATAATTTAAAGTATTATAACTATTCATTTTCAAATTGCTGTGTTTAGTAGCTGAAACATTAGTCACGTGACGTAAAAAGCACTGTTGGATATAGTTTTCATATTATTTTGTAGAATAATCTATTTAATATTTTAAACTTAGCATTTTTTATGCCTTAAATGGACCAATTCAGTACATGTTGTGTTTTTCTCAAGGGCAACCATTTTTTAAGGCTTCACTCACATTTAAGCCTAAAATCATTCATGTTTCCCATACCACCACCATAAAAAAAAGACATAATTATTCCCATCTTAGAATCTATGCTTTGTTTATAACTTTTAAATTCATGTATGATGGCCTTCCTTAGATTAAAGCTTCTTGAGTTTTAGTCTTAAACTTTCAGCTATGTTGTAAGTTCCTTGAGAGCAGAGAGAATGTCTTATTGTAGTCTGTCAGAGTGATCTACATATAGCATGTAAAGGAACTTTTTAAAAAAAAATACTTTAGCTGGTTTTAATATTAGAGTAAATTAGAACATGTATAATTGTGTAAATTTTTAATAATGTCTTCTAGGACAAACAGGAAAAGAACATACCTACTGATCTTGTCCCTGTTAACCTGCTATTAGAAGTGAAGAAGTTATTGAATGCAATTAATACTCTACCAAAAGGTGTGGTTCCTCACATCAAGAAGTTCTTACAAGAAGATTTTTCCTTCCAAACTATGCAGGTAAGATCATAATTTGATATTTGGAGCAGAAGTGTAGGTCTGTGTATATGATACACTGTGTTCCTTTACTCTCACACTACTGCCATACTCACAGCACTTCTGACACTAGATATGTGGGTTTAGTCCCACAACAGTCAATTCTCCAACGTTACCTGGGTGTCCTACAAATCAATTCAATTCTGACACTGTCTACCTGGAGTTAGCATCTGATTCCACAAGTTAAGGGCCCAATCCAAGACTGTTCCCACTTCAGATGCCAATCACCAGTACTAGACTGACTGGCTATACATTGGGGTTCCCATGACCCCTCATGAGTGCAGTAATTTGCCAGAACAGCTCACGGAACTCAGGGAAACACGTTGACCAGTTTATTACATGATAAACGATATGATTGATAAAGGATACAGCTGAACAATCACAGGAAGATATACATAGGGCAAGGAAGGGTCTCAAGTGCAGGAGCTTCTCTTCTTTTGGAGTTGGGGTACACCACTCTCCTGGCATGTGCATGTGCAAACTGGAAGTTTTCCAAAGCCCATACTTTTATAATTTTTATGGAGATTTCATCATGTAGGCATGATTAATTATTAATTCAGTTTCCAGCCTCTCTTCCCTCTTTGGGGTATGGTGCTGAAATTTCCAAGCTTCTAATCATGGCTTGGTCTTTCTGGTGACCAAGCCTCCATCCAGAAGCCCACTGAGAGTGACCTCATTAGAACAAAAGACACTCCTATCATCCAGGAAATTCCAAGGGTTTTAGGAGCTCTGTGTCTGGAACCAGAGTCAAAGACCAAATATTGGCAGGAACTGGGGACAGATCAATATATGTATTTCTTATTATATATGTATTTCCTATTATTTTACAATGACTCTTTTCTTTTCTTTTCTTTCCTTTTCTTTTCTTTCTTTCATTCTTTCTTTTTTCCCCTCCCTCCCTCCTTTCCTTCCTTCTTTTTCCTTCTTTTTCCTTCCTTCCTTCCTTCCTTCCTTCCTTCCTTCCTTCCTTCCTTCCTTCCCTTTTTTCCTTCCTTCCTTCCTTCCTTCCCTTTTTTCCTTTCTTTCCTTTCTTTCTTTACCATAACAGTGCCACTAAGGTCTTGAACTCTCCATCTTATATCTTGTGAAGGGCTTTGGTTTCAGCTTTGACTCTAGACTTTTATTAATTAAATAAAGCTGATGCTAGCCTTTCAAGGATAATGATAGGAATGTGGGTTAGTAGCTTATAAGCTGTTGACTATAAGGTCTAGTGTTTATTCTAATAACTCACAACATGCCACTCTGGGAGAGGAAACTGCTTTCAGTTTTCCTAATTTGTAAAATACTGACAGATTTTTCAAAAATGTAAGATATAAAGAAAAATAATAAGACCTGGATTTTTTAATGAGATAAATATTTTAGAGAATATATTGTCAATTTGCATCTTAGAAATAGTTTTTCTAGATAATAAGTTGTGAAACTTTCAACACAAGATGGGTATCAGTTTGTAAATTAATGGAATTTCCCAAAGTTAAAGAAAATGATCTTCTCTTCTTTGTGACAGTTAATTGGGGGGCGGAGATAGAACACCATAGGTGTCCTGAAAAGGCCACATTTACCTTTTCTGTGAAAGAATATATCATTAATTATTTCCATGAAACAAATTAATACTATTATGGTTAAAAATATAAAAAACTCTAAAAATATCCAAAGACTTTATATACAGCTATAATCTTAAGTGAGGTAATTTACCACAAGTATGAATTCTGGTTTGAAATTGATGGAATAATGCCACTATTTCCCTCTTATCTTTTGGAAATCACCCAGAAACCACAATAAGAAATAGAAATCAGTAGCCTTTATATATATAAACAATACCAGTTAGAAGGTAAAAATGAAAGAAAAATATTTTTAATAGTAACAGAAAAGATAAAATACCCAGGAAAACACTTAAGAAATATACAAGATATAAACTAGTGATTCTCACAGTTTTTCCTAAGCCACTTACGTGAGCTTATCTGACCCCCATACTAGTCCTAAAGAATCAAAATCTCTGGGGGGAGGTCTGGGAATGTGCATTTTAGTAAGTACCCCCACACACTGATTTTTTTACACTAAGTTTAGAAATCAATACTTTATATTAAAACAATAAATAAAAATTTCTAAAACTCTATTAAAGGTAAGATACGAAGACCAGAATGGGAAGCAATACGTGTAGGAAGACACAATGTGATAGAGAAGTCAATTTTCCTGAAACTAAAATTTACAAATATCATATAATTCCAATAAAAATAACAAAAGGTGTTTTTTTTGTTGTTTCTTTTTGTTTGTTTGTTTTTGTTTTTGTTACTAAAAGCTAGTTCTAAAGGGAAATTAAGGGAAAAATAGCCAGGAAAATTACGAAAGAGAAATGTGGGAGAGAAGGGCTGGGAATTTGCCCACTTTGATATTAAAACTTACTATGGGGACTTCCCTGGTGGAGCAGTGGTTAAGAATCCACCTGCCAATGCAGGGGACACAGGTTTGAGCCCTGGTCTGGGAAGACCCCACATGCTGCGGAGCAACTAAGCCTGTGCACCACAACTACTGAGCCTGTGCTCTAGAGCCCATAAGCCATGACTACTGAGCCCACGTGCTGCAACTACTGAAGCCTGCATGCCTAGAGCCCATGCTCCTCAACAAGAGAAGCTACCGCAATGAGAAGCCCATGAACCACAATGAAGAGTAGCCCCCGCTCACCACAACTAGAGAAAGCCCTTGCACAGCAACAAAGACCCAACGCAGCCAAAAATAAATAAATTAAATAAATAAATTTTAAAAAATACTTACTATGAAGCTCTAATAATTAAAAGATTGTGTTACTTGCTCTTGGCTCTGCAGACAAGTGTAGAAAATACAAGAGAAATTCCAGTAGTAGACCCAAATACATTCAGAAATGTTATGTGTAATAACAAAAGTTGGTAATACTAAAGGGGAAGTGGACCAATCAGCAATCCCAGTGGAAGATTTTAACATAGCTCTCTTAATAAGTAATAGAACATGAACACAAAATTCGTAGAGCTGTAGCAAACTTGATGTAATTGACTTATATATGTGCAACAGTGACAAAATGTATATTCTTTTTAAATGCATATAACATTTACAAAAATTGACCGTATACTAGTTCACAAAGCAAATCTCATCAAATTTCAAAACATCAGAACATGCAGAGCATGTTCTCTAACAACTGTACAATTAATTTAGAAATTAGTTACAGATAGATAAACTAGAAAACCATTGTTCCTAAGTTAAGATATATACGTCTAATCTAGTTAAACCAGAGATCAAAGAAGAAAGCACACTGGACATTAGATAAATTTTGGAACGGAATGAAAAACATATATCAGAATTTCTGTTATTAGATAAAAGTTGTGTTGCAAGGATTATTTATAACTTGAAATGCATATAATAGAAAAAGAAGCAAGGTTGAATATCAGTCATCTAAACATAAAATTCAAGAGGCTAAGGAAAGAATAGCAAATTAAAAAACAGGCGAAAAAAGAATAAAGATAGCTAAAACTAATGAAATAGAATAAAGCAAACTAGAAAAGGTCAGTTAAACCAAAACTTGATTTTTTGAAAAGACCAGTAAAATTGATAAATGCCTGGTAAGAATGTTCAAAAAAAAAGAAGGCAAAAAGACCCAAAATCATGAATGAACGTAAAATCATCAGTACAAATTCCATAGTTATCTATTGTGTCTGAAGGGGATTAAGAGGTGCAGACCTACAGCTATAAGATAAATAAGTCAAGGGGATATAATATATACCTAGGGAACATAGTCAATAATATTATAAAAAGTTCATATAATGATGGATGTTAACTGGTCTTATTGCAGCGATCATTTCATGATGATGTCATAAGAAAAATGTCAAATCACTATGTTGTATACCTTGAAATATGTTAATTATAACTCAATAAAATTATTTTTAAATTCCATAGTCATCTAAAGGATAATACAGAATTCTGCTACTTGCAGTGGCTGCCTGGGTTGGTTTAGAGCAACCTTCTTTTGAGAAGAACTAGGAAAACAGGACAAAATCTTGCTTATTTGTGCTTTTCTTGCAGATCACTTAATTCAACTAGGGACTGAGATGACTCCAAGCTTTACTTCTGTTCTGTGAGGAAGAGTCTATTTGTGGTTTACCCTTTGTAGCAGATACTGTCAGTGCCCTGCCCATACCCCTTGGCCCCTTGAACTCTATCATTTCAGTATACTCTGGACAGTTTCCAGTTTTCATATATACATCTCTATACTTCAGGCCTTTTTTTTTTCTGGAACTGCAGAAGGCTGTAATTCTCATGGCAGTTTAGAGATCCCAAGGAATTAATACTCCCCCCTTACCTCAGAAAGCACTCAGTCAATAAACCTTGGGAATTATTATATAAATATCCCAGTTCTCTCTCCCCTTAAGTTGGATAATACTGAGGCTTGAATTTTTCAATGTTTTTCTGTTGTATTAACCCTAGTCATCCACTGTGGGTAACTAGCTTAATAACACACCTGTTAATTTAAAGCTTGCTTTCTCTTCCCTGATGCCCTTCTCCACTCCACTACCATTGCTCTCTGCACCTCTCAAATAAACTACTTGCATACAAATCCTTGTGTTAGGGTCTGCTTCCAACTGGAACCAAAACAGACACTTTGACTCTAAGGGTAAATTTCTTCAGGGTCCCAACCAAAAGAATAAGGTGTTTACCAGAGCCCCTCTTCCTTGATAGGTCATACACTCCAATTTTCCCTCTAGCTCTGCAGCTTTGTGGAAAGCTCTGTCTAGGATTTCAGCCTCTCAGCCATAACTGAATACAGCAATTGCCTTAAGGAGATAAGTGGCTCCAAAAGTCAGTCTGCTGTCTCTGGGCCTTCCTCCTCTATTGCATGTTGGCCCCAGAGATTTTCAGTGCCTTGGTAGCTTTCCAAACAAAAAAAGTGTTTTTTTGTATTTTATCCAGCTTTTTTAGTTCTTGTTGAGAATATTGCTCTGAAACTACCTAAACTGTTTGGCAAAGGTGGAACTTCAGTGGTATGTTTTATATACCTATTCAAATTCAAGAGATATTGTTGAGTATATGGTTGGATACATGAGTCTGGAATTCAGGTGATAGTTCTGAGCTCGAAATATAAATTTGGAAAACTGTCAGTGTGTAGACGCTATTTAAAAAGATGACAGTGGATTACTTTATCTAGGGAATGTGTGTTGATAGAGAAGAGGTTCATTAAATAGAGTGTTACAGAGACTGAAGTAAAGTATCTAGTTAGGCTAGGAGAAAAACAGGGAAGTATTGTATACTGGAAACCAAGTTAAGAAAGTGTAGATTAAATTTCCCACATAGATAATACATCATTAAACAAATAATGTAATTTAAGCCAAGCATTTATGGGTACAAGGCATTGGGGAATGGACACAAAGATAAGACATAGTTAATTCCTTTCATTTCATCTATGTAAATAAACTATGGTACATAATAAATCATATATTAACTTGGTTCAAATTAGATGACAGCATAAGATGGTTTGCCTTGGTGTTGGTATTTTTAAAGCCAGCATTCCTATTTACCAGAGATTCAGGGCTGGAATGAAGATTTTTAGCTATGTTAGAGAATAGAAGGTATGAGAATGAAGTGGGATTATGACTTTCCTCTGAAGTAGGAGTGGACATTGCCAACCCTTCAGCAGGCATAGGAGTGCTTTTTAGTATCTTGAGGAAGTAGTTACAAAGATGATTTGTTGAACTACTTAAAACCAAACAAATATGAGAACAATTTTATCTAGGTCATGTGGATTTTTAAAAAAATCATCTTTATTCTCCAAATTTTCTACAATGAGCATGTATTATTTGTATAATAAAAATAAATGTTGATATTTGCTCTAACTTAAGGAAATTTTCAACCAAATTATTTTCCACAGAGAGAAGTTGCAGCCAACAGCCAAAATGGGGAGGAAATTGTTCCTGCTTTGACTTTACGTTTCTTAATAACACAACTGGAAGCAGCACTTAGGAACATTCAAGCTACTAATTATACTGTAAGTGTTTTCTTTTTGAAAGTTTGAAATAATGGACTTGGACAACATTTTTTCAATGAGAGAACAGTCAGTGTATGCTTATTTTAAGGTGTAGGCCAATTTGTATTTTCCTCATTTACCTCTAGAGAAAGGTATACATAGATTGATTTCTTTCACATGTCTTGTACTTTCTCATGAATGCTTCTCTTTAATGAGCCAATTCTAGTTTCCTTTCCTACCATAACATTGTTCATCTTAAATGGAGAAACTTGAACTTTCTAGAGTAAACTTGAACTTTCTGAAAGCCCTAAAAATGGGCTTTCCCAATTAGAAATGGAGAGTCATGAACTTTAAAAACTACTTCCTTTCCCCCTAATTGATAATCAGCTCCTCTTTTTACTGATATTTCTGTTTTTTAAATTGAAGTATAGTTGATTTACAATTTTGTGTTAATTTCTGCTGTACAGCAAAGTGATTCAGGTATACATATATAGACGTTCTTTTTTATATTCTTTTCCATTACGGTTTATCTCAGGATATTGAATATGGTTCTTTGTGCTATACAGTAGGACCTTGTTGTT